ATAAATAACATAATTTTTAAATATAACACCATGTGACTCATTATGAATTATGTGAATTTTTTTTTTAATTTTTTTCACTTCAGTTTTTGTGTTTTTTCGTTAAATAGTTAATATAGAGTATTAGTTTCCTTCATACTTACTACTTCTAAGACATTTTCTTCATCTTCACTTTTAGATTCTCTTTTCTCGAACCCAGCGTTTGTTATTCGTCTAAATATCTTGCTTTCTTTCCTTTGAATGGGGTGGCTCTTCTTCGAAGCATTAGATGTCACTGAAAAGAAAATTAATTTTTAAAATATTCTCCAGTGATAATTGAAGCAGCATTAATATTTTAACATATAAATAAATAATATTCAAACTTTTACTCATGAGTAATCAGACATCAACAGAAATTCAAATTACTTACAATTATTTTCTTACTAAACAAATTGCATTTATGTTAAACCACACAAGAAAACTTCTAAATCGCAATTTAAGAAAGCAATATTTAACATATTTGTTATTGGAAAGTATTTATGAACGTCACAAAATTATTTTGAATTATTGTTAAATAATAAAAAATAGCTGAATATAAACAGCAAAGTTACTAGTTGAACTATAAGTTTTGTATTTAAATAGATTTCAGAAACAAACTAAAATGTATAAAAAAAATTTCTATAAAATGTAAAATTTTTTTGAAATGCAATTTTTATCACGAATGTGGCGCCAATTTCTATTTATTGGCATGTGAAGTACATAGTTATCTGTTTAAAAAATTGAAACTAAATAGCGAGGATTCCAACTTACAGACTATTGTTATAAATCAGTTTCGACATTAACAGTAAGCTTAGACGCCATGTTTCATTTAAGAAAAGAAAAAACTTTCACATGTATGAGATAAAAAAATGCTACAAATATTTTAGCAAGTGATTTCATACATCGACACACTTTCCTAAAATTTTCAAAATCATTTTTTTTTCAAAAAAAGAAGAAAAGAAAAGAAATAGATTCACAAACAAATTTGAATCTAATATGAAGCAAATTTTTGTTAGAAACATTATTTAGAGTGTTATTTATATTAATGTATTACTATAGATTTATTAACAAAGTATATATATGTTAAATAATTTAAAATAACACAGTAAACAAAATTTTATGTCAGGTGATTAGTCAAGTTAAAACCACTCATCAATTTTATTTGAAAAATTACACAAAAGTAAAATGGAATGTAACACATGTCACAACTTAAACCAAAATTAGCTGCAAGCCTCACTCTGTAACTCTGTCTTCACAAAAAATGTTCAGTCTCTTACTGCATTTTTTATTGTTATAATTGGTTGCTTATTGACATTAAAGAAAGAAAACTTTAGTACATTAATTTAATGCATACAACTAATATAATACAGACAATTAATTTATTACAACTTATAAGCTAATGCTGAACAAATCCTTATGACCTTAAGCACTTATGTATGCATTACAATTTATTTGCAAATTACAATTTTAAACTCAAATTTAGAAAAACATTATCGTTGTAATTTAATTTAACATTTGAAACAAAAAACAATTAACACTTTGAATTTCTCTTAATAATTTAAAGTATAATAAAATACATTTGAGATGAGAATAAATCATTTTCTTTTAAGTTAAGCAAAGTAAAACCATTACATATCTCACAAAAAGTGTCGAATGGTTTTTTGTTAAATACACGTCACAGCATAAGATTTCATTACGATATATTGAATGTATATAGATGTATGTACTTACTAGATAATTTTTCATAATCATGGTTTATCTTCCTCCTATTGCTGAAAATAATCAACAAACAGCTGTAAGAAGTGAAATATTTCTTGGCATATTTGAAATAAATTTAAAACATTACTAAGTAAAAGATATTGCGAAAATTGCGTGTATTATGTTAATTAAGGGAAGAATTAAATACAGGGCCGTTAAGATATTCCATTCGGACCCCTGTAGAACCCGTTCTACTCATTAGATTTTCATAAAATTCGATGTATTCGCTTTATGGACTACGGAAAAACTACACTACTAGCCATTAAAATTGCTACACCAATAAGGAACTCAAATAACGGAATGATATTTATTGCGCACATACATTATAGTTGAAAGAAAAAGTGATAAAATTTTCAGGATATTTGGACGTTAAGATCCTGAGGAATCAGTACTCAGAGCAGCCTCCCCTGGCAGCAATAACAGCAATTATTCTTCTGGGCATCGAGTCGAGCAGAGATTGGATAGCATATACTAGTACAGTATTACCTACAGCTCAAACATTATGCCACAATTCATCTACCGTAGTGACTGACGAGTGGCGGTGTGCTAGTCGTTTCGCAACCATTGACCAGACGTTTTCAATTTGTGAGAAATCAGAAGAACGTGCTGGCTAGAGCAACAGACTAGCATGTTCTGTGTCAAGGATGGTCAGTACAGTGCGGGCAACATGCGGTCGTGCATTGTCCTGCTGAAACGTTGGAGGCCTCGAAGATAAGGCAAAGCAACTGGTCCTAACACATCAGAAATGTGCTCAAAGTGCCGGCAATGCGAACGAGAGGTGATCGAGACGTGTATCCAATGGCACACCATACCATTACTCGAGGTGATGGACCAGTATGACGATGTAGAATGCAAGCTGCCAATGAGCGTTCTCCACGATGTCATCAAACATGGATGGGGCCATCATGATGCTGTATACAGTGGATGCTGTATTCGTCTGAAAAGACGACGTCCTGCCATTCCTGCGTCCAGGTTCGTCGTTGATCACACCATTGGAGGCCCTCCTGCCTGTAATGCAGCGTCAAGGGTAGCCGAAGCCAAGGTAGCCGTGCTGACAGTCCATGCTGCTGCAAACGTTGTCAAAATGTTCATGCAGGATTCGTGACGTAGCTGTACGATCCCTTAAAGCCGTGTGGATAACATGTCTGTCTTCTCTTCTGTTAGTGATGACTTTAAGCTCAGATAAAGTAGTAATTCCTCCTCCATATATATATATATATATATATATATATATA